ATAAATCAAATTTTCATTTGCACTCTTTTCGAGGGGGGTGCTCGGGTAAGCGCCCACCCCTAAAAAATCGTAATTTTCTGAGTTGAGGCCCCTGGGCGCTAACGCGGTCGAGTACGGTATGTGTACAAGTATACATTGTTAGAGACCCATATTGAACACAACACAGTGCAAGAACCATGCACCGCCTTTTAAGTACCCATTAGATATAAAGAAATATATCTGTATCAGTGGTGAGTAAAATATTTGTTAAACCAAAACTGACGAGAAAGAGTGTTTTAAACAGGCATACAAGTCTTCAAAATGGCAAACAATCAAAGGTTTTGCATCAAAGTGTTAATGACAATGTGTATTTTAAAGTCGGAGGTCATCACGCCACACATGCATGACATATGGGTCTCATATAAACAAAAATGGTGACTTTTTGCGTAGATCAAGTACGACCTGAAACATTACCAAGCTCTAACTAGGTTATTTTTTTAGTGCCCAGATCAAAACTTCATTAGAACAGTGCATTAGATTGTGGGAAAATCAATGTCTAACAACACAAATATTGCACATGCGCTGTGCCTTTTAAAGAAGTCATAAGGTGTTAAACGGCAGTGGTCATCGCGCCGAATCCTGTTCGATATGGGACTCAGCGACGTATACAATGCATGTAAAATACATTGTTTGTTTACATGAAATTCGAACACCGATCACCGCCCTTTAATGCAGAATTAGACAATTTTTAACGTTTGTAAACATAGCAAACAATGGCTAGATTATTCAAATTACACTTCCAGGATGCACTGGTGCAATCATCCTGTGATTTGCATTTTATATTTGCATTATTTCAGTCACAACTATTTCATTCTTCAATGCCAAATATAAAATTAATATGGAAACATACCTGGTCTGAAAACTCTGAGAAATCCACACCATTTTCAATCAGAAATCCTTCAGTCTCCGGCTCAATCTGACCAGCCTCACCTAGACTTCTCTGCAACATCCTATGAAAGAGAAACAACAAATGAACATCAGTTAATGTTACAATTTAATAAATATGCGGCTTGTATAGAAGTAATATGTGATCTTTACATTCACTGTTACTGTATTTGTGCTTATGCAAATGACAGAGGTGTTTCTGTGGTCAAAATAAATAATAATTTAATAATTAAGTATACAATAAATGCGATTTTTGGTTCATACATGTATGCACTTCTAGTGGAGATGTGCTTCTAATAGCACAAATATGGTACATGTATTATATGAGCTCTTTAATTTATTACAAGCCACAAGTCATTATAAAACAGAAAAGTTTTAAAAATTAAGTTCTCACAGACTGCATTGATATACATTGTAACTTAAAGAGGAAGCTGTCAATCTCTTGGATTACACCATGGAATTGCAAGACACTAGATGTACTGCCACGGTTGTGCATGCTTTCGATTCATCACTATGGAAACCTGATTTTTTCAGAAACAACTTGAATTCCCTTGAATTAATAACAAACATTTGTGAAGTATCAAAACAGCAACGTACCCAGTGGCAAATCCTGAATCCTCAGGCCAATCTGTGATTCTTGCTACGAACAAGACATTTGAAAAGTCACCAGGTCTTTGTATAAAACCATCCGGACACTGTGCTAAGGGTACTTTGATTCTTGGTAAGCGATGGTCTATTGGACAAAACAATGCATCTTGGGTATCCTAGTAAAAAAAAAAAAAAACTTATTTAACTTGGGATTCAAACCAGCAGCAATTGTTACCCTGCATGTCATGTGACTGAAATTGTCATGTGACTGTATTTTGATAAATGTTGTCATGATAAGGACCTGTTCATTTACAAAAATATTTTCCATCATAATTGAATAAATTATTATAAATCTATTCACCACTAGACTTTCTCACCCACAATTGTCTGCACTTTTTTCTTATATTTCTGGAAATGAACCTTAATTTGGAGTCAAAAAATGAAATTCAAGTCAATTTTCAGTTTTTACTCAAAGAGTTCGGTTATTTTTGTTTAAATCTTCTGAATTTGTGATGAAAAGAGGAAACTGGTGGTGAAAATGTTAATTAATTATTGCACAAGTGCAATCAGCAAAGTAAAAATGTAAAAAAAAAATACCTTCTCAGGAAGTGTCTTTAAATTCCCAGTTGCAGCCCGTGAATGTTTTTTCTCAATAATAAACACCACTTTAGCAGTTTTCTGTAAAAATTTATCTGGAATGTCAGCAGGCTTTAGTACATCTTTTGGTTTTTCTGTCTGCTGAGCAGCGTTGTCAAACAGTGACCTGACAACTGGCTCCAAGTTACCCACCGCATCCTTCTCATCAACAGCCATGTTTTTTGAATCCATTGTTGATTTACTCATGTCAGCTGATATGGCAGTGTTGTTAGAATTCAGGGTCAGTTTACTCATATCAGTTGATACACTGTCTTGAGTAGTTAAGTAGTTGTCGTATTCTTTCTGCTTCACCTGAAAACAATCATTTTGTTTAAATCTCAGACATGAATTTCATGACATGACTCATTCATTCTTTTTATTGCAAGTTTTTGGACCACATTGTAAATAATTATTTCTCAAAAGTTTTGAAAAACATGGAGAAAAAGGTAACAAAAATGATGTACAATCGAAACAAAACGCATAACATGAATAAGAAAAATAAATTATGCATGTTCAGGGCTCATCAACAAAATGAGTTACATTGCACCCTAATATGGACAATAGAACACTATAAGAAAAAGTAGACATTACCTTCCATTCAGACTTAGCTAGTAACTGCACAGCGACAATATCACCGGTTAAGGCTCTGTTACGGGCATGGATTCCATGAAGGTAAATGTCAGCTTTGTTTTCCTGGAATGAAGAGTTGGATAGCGTACAAGTAAATTAAAGCACAACAACTAAACAAAGCCACTAGCCATTGATTATTAATTATAATTGTTTACATACATCTCATCTCCAAGTTTGCACTTGCGTTCAATTCCTTGACCTTCGCTTCGACCCAGACAAAAAAATCTGATGTACAATCAATCATTTCCCAGAATACATTGGGCTTCTCTAGGCCACTCAAGGAAATTTAGATAATCAGATACATTTTTTATTGCTCTCATCTGAATTTTTCCTAGAGATAAAAACCTAATTTGCATAATATAGATAATTCAATATATCAAAATATGCTAGTAAGTTATGATGATGTCATAAACATAAGACAAAGGTTCTGTATTTGCTGGCAACTGATAATAATAAGTTCCAAAATAACAAGAAAACACTTTTTTTTAACTACATGTAGCATTCTCAGATTTCCAAGGGTAAACATGTAATATATCAGAAAAAAAACATATTTTTACTAGAGTTTATTGTCATAGATTTAATTTAATCATTCAGCAAAAACAATTACAACTGTAAAAACACATCTTTTTAGTTTCCATGTAATTTCACTAATTCAAGATGTTGATAATTTAGCAAAAGATTGTTGGCACACACTAAATTAAAATTCTATTAATTCATGAATTGAGTCAAATTTCCTAAAATCTCTTACATCTAATTCAACATGTTTTACAGTATAAATCTGTAAATATCAACTACTGTAAACGACTTGATTTTAGCTGGAAATAATTTTTGATGAAAAAGCATTCTTGGCTGTTTTGTATGTACTAGTAGTTTATTTTCACTGATTTTTGGTGAGTTGAATCTAAAATATAGGAAAAACATAAATTTTGACTACTTACTGGATTATCAATGTAAGCATCTTCAAAATTTCTTGGATTAATTCGTAATGATCCCTGAATTAATTCTCCTTTTTTAAGTCCAGCAGAGACCTCAGGAGTCGACATGTAGGGCTCAAAAGGCTGTAAAAGAACATGATAATGCGTTATTGAAATTATACAAAGCCATTCAATAGAACAATGGTTGTAGTTAGATTCTGCCAATTTGTGTGTTCGTTCAGAGTTATTCTGAGAGCTGCTTTCAGGGCCAAAATATTTCAGAGAAATCACCCGAAAAAAGCAAACAAGCAATACCAACGTTCAAGATACTTTAAATTAAACATTAATGGTACAATAGATAGATGTTTGGAAAAATATTTTAGTGGTTATGGTAAGATGCTATGAACAAGGATGAAACAAAATGGCAGATTTGATGACTTACTCAGAAACAAATGTCACATGACATGAAAACAACACATGATAAATTCACTCACCTTGGTCAGCTTCCTTGGAGTAGAGCTTCTATGATGTCTATTTCGGTGTTTTGAAGAGGATCCTTGTTGCTTTGAACCAGGTGTACCATCATAGTCACATTGCTGATAATTCGGTGTTCGAGGTGACCCTGGATGGTCTCTATCAGACCTGGGGCTATGATAACGACCACGTGGGGGTGTATGATTTCTAAAATCATTGGGGTATCTATGGTTACCAGGGTTATGTGGTGATCCCGAGTTGTTCCTACCCGAACGTCCATGGGGTGGAGTTTGATTTCGGAAATCATTGTAGCGTGTAGGTCGTGACCTTCTAGTATCGTATTCTCTAGGAGATGAGTTTACTCCACCAGATGAGGGCCTGAAATCTGAATTTGGCACCGTAATTTGAAAATTTTCCCTTCCATCTGGCAATGCATTTTTACCACTCGACTGTGGAGCAGAATGTCTCTTTGTCCTGCCAACAGCAACTTTGTCATGTACTGCACAACTGTCACTAGTGCTTACACCAGTTTGTTCGCTTTCTTCTCTATTTTGTCCACCACTTTTAGATCGCCTTTTATTCCTCTACAAATTATATTTGCAACCATTAGCATGAAACAGTAATATGTACATCAATTGCATATTAGCATGAAAAGGTAATATATATATCATTTGCATATCATTAGCATGAAACAGTAATATGCACATCAATTGCATATTAGCATGAAAAGGTAATATATATATCATTTGCATATTATTAGCATGAAACAGTAATATGTACATCAATTGCATATTAGCATGAAAAGGTAATATATATATCATTTGCATATCATTAGCATGAAACAGTAATATGCATATCAATTGCATATTAGCATGAAAAGGTAATATATATATCATTTGCATATCATTAGCATGAAACAGTAATATGCACATCAATTGCATATTAGCATGAAAAGGTAATATATATATCATTTGCATATTATTAGCATGAAACAGTAATATGTACATCAATTGCATATTAGCATGAAAAGGTAATATATATATCATTTGCATATCATTAGCATGAAACAGTAATATGCACATCAATTGCATATTAGCATGAAAAGGTAATATATATATCATTTGCATATCATTAGCATGAAACAGTAATATGCACATCAATTGCATATTAGCATGAAACAGTAATATGTATGACATTTGCATATTATTAGCATGAAACAGTAATATACATATCATTTACATATCATTAGCATGAAACAGTAATATGTACTGGTATGTCATTTACATATTATTGGCATGAAACAGTAATATGCATTTTGTTTGTATTCATTGGATTTTCATTTCATTATTTTTTGGTAAAAAGTAAAATAAATTCACATAAACATTGTTTTACTGCCAAATTCATGAACATAAAACCCAATGAAATTGCTCAAATATCAAAAATATATAGTGAAAATAAATGGTTTTACAGTATCTGCAGTAAAAATGTAATTTCATTTAAATCAAAATGAAAGTGTTATTTTGTGTTAGTTGTAATCGTCATCTCACCCAACAATCTCAGAAATAATTTTTAAATTTCAATGATATGAGAAAATTATTTATTTTTTTTTCACTGGGCTTAAAAAAACTGAAAATGCCAGGCATCACGAATAATTTTATATTTAAGTTTTTTTTACAGTGACCATGTAAAATTGAAGCAATTTAAATAGATTTGTCATCTGGGCTGAAAAAACCCCCCTAGATGAAGAAATTTTGCTTTGTGATAATTTTGGAACGCCCCTAACACTTTTATTTTGGAAGGTTTCATTTTATAGCACAGCTTTAAGATATTCAGTGTTGAGAAAAGTCTGTCTAGATAATAAATTGAAATCTGAGTAATCATGAATTTCTCTTACATGTCTCTTTTTCTTTTTCTTTTGTGACGCATCTCCTTCTATGGCATCATCTTTTGGCTCAAGCGTCGTCACCTTGACTCCCTTCTCATTCTCAATTATCTCTTGTTCAATTATCACATCAGCATCTTCACTGTCCACGCATACAGCTGTATTGCTAGCCATCAACTCCGCTAAGTTTAGTTTTCTAAAAAGAAGAATAGTTTAAAGTCTGCACTCTTCAGATCATTCCTGGAATACCATGCCTTGTGAGCTGTCTGATCCACTACACTGGTCAATAAAAACAAACAAGGAATGCTAAAGATTGATCCTCATCACAGACCACATAAATTACAGAAATAGTATGAAAAGATTATTGAAAGTACTACCTTAAGTTTTATTTATCTTTGGACTGTTACTATTATTATGTTAAGTACTTGATGGTCTAAATATGCATGAAAAGCGGGAAATATCTGATGATTCACTTGGAATGATTGACACGATAGACACACCCATAAATGCCACTATGTGGTGCAATAAATGTAAATGTCTTTGTATTTTTCCCATGATTCATTGCGTGAAGATTACTGAAAACTGATATGGCGATGTTATCTACGTAAATGGACTAAAATATCACCACTTTTATTAACATACAAGTGAGGGTGCGAATTTGAAAGTATACATCTTTGTAGCACTATTCATGAAGTCTGTTGATGAAAGGACAGTTTTAAGATAGCAACATTCCTATAACCAATGGAATCTCTACATTGATAATCAGGATTTACACAACTTTTCTGAAGTGTATACCTCAAAAAAAAAATTTTTGGCCTGAGAAATGACATTGTGTAAACGGAGCATGTACATTTCTGAAATGAACATACACAAGCGTGACTTTGTATTTGCATTTACTGTCACTGTCACTGTCATATTGTTTCAATTACCAAAACAGCAACATTGCTAGCTATTAGTTTCTGACTGATTTGCTATGCACACCTGGAGATTGATACACGATTAGAACAAGTTAGGTCAATCCAACCTGAACAATTGACGTCAAACAAATAGTGAAGACACATTGAATATAACCAGAAGATCACAATGAGATTGCCTTTCAAATTATTTCATTCAATCATAGAACTATAAACCACAGGAAGAACAACCACTTCTTTTCCTTTAAACTATGATAGTTGCTGCGAGGTCGAATGTTTATTTTGACTGTTTACTTTGTCGCATTAAAAAATAAGCCAATTTACGCAAATGAACAGAGTCAATCAGACGACTTTGAGAGATCACGTGATCGAGTTGTTTTGGTTAGGCCAGACTTTTTTTATTCCATGTTTCTCGAGTTTTTATAAGAAATTTTTTTTGAGGAGGGCGGAAAAAAATAAAATTAATTCTTTTTTTCCATTAGATTTGTGTGATTCTCAAAGAATTGTAAGTGAGATCATTGATCGGAGAGAAGAAATTAAATAAAATTTTATTCCATGTATAACCTTGTTTCTCATCTGCGCAGGACTTCGGTACTCCAACGAAAATGCAACTTGGGTTTGTTATGTCGGCATGCAAAAAAAATTTTTTTTTCCGCAATTTACGCTGAAATAAAATTTTATTTTTATTTTATTTTCGGCCCCTGCTCATTCAGCAGGTTCGCGAAACAAGGGATAATAAAAGTCTGGCCTTATAGCATAAAAAAACAATGGCACCAAGACAAAAACACTGATAAATGAGCGACATTCAACGAGGGGAAAAAAACACATTGCCACTTCTGGCGATCGAAGGGAAACACGGAATAACAGGATATCTTGACAACAAACAGCATACCAAACCCCATGTTTCACAAACTTTCGCAACCTTATTTTTTCGAGGGTTGATAAAATCCAAAAAGTGGAAAACAACATTGAAAATGATGAAAACTCGCTAAATTTCGACCCGTTGCATAACTTCCGGTACACTGATGGTCACCCTGCAGACCGACTTGGTTGCGCATGCGTAGTGAACAAAATATTTTCCTGCGCAGATATGAAATATTTTTTTTTCAAGTTTTACGTTCGCAGCAAAGCGGTTGATACAGGTGTATATCGGCGGCAACTAACATGGAGTATGACTAATGTCATGGAAACATAAGCGAAAGCACTGTAAGATAAACTAAGACAAAGGTTTTTCTAATCCTCTTAGTTTTGTTGTTCTTCCTGTGGTTTATAGTTCCATGATTCAATCGTATAAATTTCTAAATAATAAATGACAAAGTTAATCTTTGAACAAAATGTATGTACTGACACAGTATGAAATGTCAAGACACAGTCAATGGTGTGTTTGATGCATGTCATATCGTTGGTAAATGCGCGCACCCTCTTAAAATGTGTTTGAACTTACCAGTTCTAATCATGTAACAATCTCGAGACGCACATAACAAACCAGTGAGCAATTTAGCTGGCAATATTGCTGTTTTGGTAGAACAATAGGCAGGACTCCAGAAGACGTACCTACACTTTATGCAATTTTTTTTAATTATACTAATTTATTCATGACGTAGCAGTTTCTGTGCTCATGAATATTCATTAATTTGTGGGTCAATACATTTTAAAAGGGGCGATATATTATTTTTGGGGGAAGAGTTAGAAAGGGGGATCAGTAATCATTAGGGGGTCAATACAAAAGAAGGGACCCATTTGGAGAGCAGCCATGCTCCTCGTGCCTGTTGTTGCACGTGACCTACAGCTGTCAACTGTGTTCGTTCTTCGTCGACTGGCTTCCATGTGAGGTAGTATTCTTGTGTTCTGTTTTTCTGACTTGAGTTTTTGAATTCGCTGTTTATGTTTTTAACGTCTTTCATGTCTTTTGTAGGAGTGTCCAATCCGTGATTCGAACATGCGATCTTTGAGTTGCCAGCGCACTGTCTTGTCCACTGTACCACGAGTGTCTTCACACAAGAGATAGGATTTAAGTCCTATTCATAGGAGCACTGTCTTCACTAGCATTCAAAAATCTAACTAAACATACTGGATTCAAACCAGCGATCGCTCACATTG